CCCTGGGGCTCAGAGGAGTGTGATCCCAGGGAGATGCAATCAGATGTATTATCTTGGGCTAGACCACTAGGGTCTAGGGTATGACCTGCTTTGTTTTTAAATTTTTTTTAAACTGTGGAAAATACACAAAATTTATTGTCTCAATTAATTTGAAGTGTACAGTTTAGTAGTATTAAGTACATTCACGCTGTTATGTAAGCAACCTCCAGATCTCTCTTTATCTTGAAACTGAAACTGTACTCATTAAACAATTAATCTGCACTCCACCGTCTCCTAGCTCCTGGCAACCACCATTCTACTTCATCTCTTTAAATTTGACTACTCTAGTTACTCTAGGTACTTTTACTCTGCTGGTAAAAGGGAGAAGTTACAGTATTTGTCTTTCTGTGATGGCTTATTTCACTTAGCATAGTTGTCTTCAAGGTTCACCCACTTCGAAGCAGGTGGCAGAAGTTTCTTCTTAGAACTAAGTAATATTCCATTGGGTACATATGCTACATTTTGTTCATCCATCCATCCATCCATCCATCCATCCATCCATCCTTCCCCAGATGGATACGTGGGCTGCTTACCCCTCTCGGCTATTGTGAGTGATGCAGCTACAAGCATGGGCACAGAATGATTTAAGCTCATTACTAATTTGCTTCCCTCCCAGGATGTTGGACTGGCCCTAGTCTGGGTGGGTTGGCAGAGTGGAAGGGATAGCCCAGTGGTGATGCTTCCCCACGATGGAGGCGGGGACACCAAATACAGAGAATCCTCCCGCTGCACTGATTGAGCGGGGGCCCCTAAGACTGAGCCCTTAAATCATCCTGGGACTAGAGGAGCTTTTCTCTGCATCTAAAATGTGAGCCATAAACCAGGCTGACTTACGGGCTGTTCTCACCGGTCTGCTTGTTTATGGCCAGCGTCCTTTCTGATTGGTTGATGCCTGTACTGTGCCCATTGTTAAATATTTGAATATTTGCTCTAAACCTCTAAACCAGCACCAAGACTTCTATGCCTGGCTGTATGTCAGAGTCCCCGGCAGGGACAGGGGGGTCTGCTGTCCGAAGACCCCATTCTCAGCTCCCTTCTAGCACTGCCTGAGTGCTTCCAATGCAGTCTTAGTCTTGGTTAGGTTCCCCAGAAGCAAACTTCGGATGAAGACAGAGGGCCAGGCCATTTTCTTAGGCAGGAAACCCCAGGAAGCACAGAGAAGGGCTGGAGAATGCAGGACAGGGAAGGGGAGGAAATCATAAAGATGTATCACCAATGGTCTTTGCCAGTTTTCTGTGCTAAAGCAGGATGTCACAGACTGGTAATTTTTAAAGAACAGAACTTTATTTAGCTTATGGTGTTGCTGGGAAGTTCCAAGAGCATGGCACCAGCATTGGCAAGGGCTTTCATGCTGCGTCATAACATGGAGAGGGCTTCACCAAGTGAGATGACATCAGGTGCCAGCTCAGGTCACTCTAATGCCATCATGGGGTACCTGCCTTCATGGCCCTCATCAATTCTGATTCCCCCCCAAGGGCCTTCCCTCCAAGTGCCATCAATGTATGAACTTGGAGATTAAGTTTCCAACACAACAACTTTTGGGGAACACATTCAAGTCATAGAATCAACCAAGTCACCCTTGCATACAGCTGGAGCTTAACTCCATTGTAGGGGATCTGTGAGCCAGCCTGGCATGCTGCCTCTAAATTGTCCCCTTAAGAAGTAAGGGAGCTGGGGCCTTTATTTCCAACTGGTCATCTTTATCCATCATTGCCCTGTGGGTTCTCACTGAGCACTGCCACCGGGGGCATGAGCAGCCTACCTTCGGGCCTGTCCTCTGTGTGTGATGGTAGAGAAGCTATTGGGTAAAGAATCACAGAGGCTGGCAGCTGACACTCAGGCTGGCAGGCATTGCTGAGGGTCAGCAGGCAGGATCTGTGCCGGATGCTTAGCTGCCCCTGTCATGCCATCGTCAGGTGTGCCCCAGTGCTGTAAGTCACTGGGTCTCTTCTTACCACTGGGAAGAGCTTCAGGCCTCCCCCATTGCTGGTGGAATTGTAACACGGTGCAGCCGCTGTGGATTCCTCTCTAAGTTCAGCGTAGACTTACCCTGTGACCCTGTAGTTCTGCTCCTCAGTATTACCTCAGAGATTTAAAAATGACTGTTCAAATCAAACCGTGTACACAGGAGTGCCTGGTGACTTCATTTACAACAGCCAAAGGTGGGAACAATCCAGAAGTTCTCGGACTGATGAACGGATAGACAGGCTGTGTTCCAGCCACACCATGGAGCATTACTCAGTATTATAAAGAAGAGCCGGGTTTGGCTGCAGCTCAGTGGTCAAGCACTTGCCTAGCATGTGTGAGGCCATGGGTTTATTTCCCAGTACCATGGGGCAAAAGGAGTGATGTTTAATACATGATAAAAATGGATGAGCCTTGCAAATACAGTGCCGCGTGAAAGAACCCAGACACAAAAGGTCAATTTGAGATGTCTGAAGTAGGCAAATCCATAGAGACAGAAAGTGAATTAGTGATTGCCAGAGGCTAGGGTAGAAAGAATGGGGGTGACTGTAATGGGTATGGAAGTCTCTTTCGGGGTGATGCAAATGTAGAAGTAGCTGGTAGTGATGGTTACTCACACTGCATTGTGCTAATGGCCACTGGTTTATACACTTTAGTTAAAATGGTGAATTTCATGTGATGTGTATTTTGCCACAATTTTTTAAAGTGCTCTTGGTATTGTGTGGGCCTGAGACACAAGGCACGCTCTCTGGTTCTCAGAAAAACCTGCGCATAGCATGTGCATCCCAGGGCCATCCAGCCAGGGATGCCCCCCTCCCAGTGGCTGCTCTTAGGAGCTCTGGGCTGGAGCTGAGCCCCAAGGATTGGTCTGTCGGTGCTGGGAGCCTCGGCTGATAGAGAGAAGAGCCCTGCTTGTAGGAGCAGCTGGGGCGGCCCAGCTCCTGCAGAGTCCAGAGCCGTGCTGGGCAGGGATGTATGTGCCCAGCTGGAAAATTGTGGGGCGTCTTGTCTTAAATATGATATTAAATTGGCACGTTTAATTAGTACACTTAGAAAAGGTCACCAGCAGTTACCTGAGACACAAAGAAGGCGTAAGCAGGCAAGAGCCGCGAGGAAGCTGAAAAGGACCATTTTGAGCAGCACATAATTGTGGGGAAAATGGATAAAAGTCCAGGAAATTATAGGGTGGGTGACAGCAGCTGATGGCCCCATCCCTGTCCTGCCCACTGCCCCCCTTCTTAGGAGGGCCTGTGTGTCGGGCCTGAGCCATTTGGGATATCAGGCCAAGCCACCCACCTGCCTGGAGGGCCAGTGTGGCCTTCCCAGAATCCCCTGGGCTTGGCTGTCCTGCGGGCTGCAGGCTGCTGTGGACTCTGTACCACCGACGGAGGCCTCATGGGTCCTGGTGTAGGATCTACCTGGGGCATTAGGGAAGTCGTTCAGTATTTTCCAAATGTTGGCGAGGGAGAGGGCTGTGTATTCCTGCATATTCCAAGCCCATATTCTGGGCTTGGGAGGGAAATTCTTTCACAGGTTTAGTTTATATCTTTTAAAATAAATGGCACATTCTATTCTCACTACGTTCCTTGTTACTGAGCAATGCAAACACTTTGGGAAAATGTGCTCAGTTTATTTGTGGCTCTCACATACCCTCTCCTCCCCATCTAGAAAGGAAAGAGCATCAGGCTGAAAATGAGGGAGTTTGGAGAGCTGGGTTCAAGTGCTGACAAGGTGACCATCTGACTTCGGGCAGCTTGCTAAACGCCCTCCACTTCTCCCTCTCTACGTGGGAGGGTTGTACTGTGTGGCTGTTGCAGCTTGGGTCTTTGATTTCACAACTCCTTCCATTTTTTGACTCCGCCCATCACCTACTGCTCTTATACTGTTCACTTTTGAAGAGGCTGCTTTGTCTCCCTGAGCCTCAACACTCTAATGTATAAAATGGGTACAATAATGGCCACCAAACAGGAGGCTTTAATAACTGAATCCATCTGAATGGACCAAGGGTATGGAGTCTCCCAAGAGCCCTATGGATGCCCAGAATCTTCCATTTCCATTTTGGGCTTCCAGTTGGGGACTGCTGGGATCATGTCCACAGAGTTCAATGTCAGGTACGGACATGTGCAAGGTGCTGAGACAGATGTAGGCTCTCAGCTCTGAACCCGTGGGCTGTGGATTCCAGCTGTGCCCCCTGCTAGCTGGGAGGCCTGGGAAATTGCACAATCACTCTTCTTGGCCTTATCAGGAAAGTGGGGAGATTGCTCTCAAGGACTGAAATTGATGGCACTGTACATGGGAATTGCTCAGCTCAGGGACTGACCCCTGATTGCGGCCAGAAAACCTTAGCTATCATTGTCTTGTTGGAACTTACCTCTCAAAAGTTCACTACCAAAGCTCATTAGCTGTACTTTTCTGGATAAGATTCCCAGCACTTAGAATCCTTCCCTCATTTGATCTTCAATAAACATAAGCATCAGTTTTGGAGCAGAAGAAAGTGTCTATCCCTTATGTTAGGGAAGCTGGACCCTAGAAAGAAGGGTTGGTTCCATGCTGAGGTCTGTACCAACTGCCCTCACTTGGAACCAAGGAGATGCTAGACCTCTTCAGAAAATGACACACTGCACACACGGGCCATTTTGTATATTGTTCCTGGAAATTTAACAGCTAAGGTGACCGGTTTGTCTGGTACTTCCAGGTTCGGGCACAAGAGCTGGGAAATACCTCAGTCCTGGAAGTCACAGTGATGCAGCACTCATCCAGGACATGGTGAATGATGGTGTCGCCATGTAGGCACTGTGACACTATGACAAGTGGACAAAGATGGACAGGAGAGCCTATCAGAGCCCAGAGACACATGGGGTCTTACGATGATCCATGACCCTCTAGGGTTCTGTGAGTGGCTGCTTCCTGCTGGGAGGTCAGCCACTCAAGCAAGGTGGTAAGGAATGAAGTTGACCTCCTCTGCTTGACCTCTGCTCTCTGCCTTGGCCATGCAGGTTCCTCTGTGACCCAGCTGCTAGCCCGAGACATGGACAATGACCCCCTGGTGTTTGGCGTGTCGGGAGAAGAGGCCTCCCGCTTCTTTGCCGTGGAGCCGGATACTGGTGTGGTGTGGCTCCGGCAGCCACTGGACAGAGAGGTATGACCTGCCCACACCCTTGCCTTTGTCCTTTTCCGAGGGGCAGGAGCAGTTACTGCCAGAAGGGCTGTTCGAAGTCTTTGGGTCTTTCTTCCGAGATCCATTCTGACCCTGCAATGGCATCCTTCTGTCTAAGGGACATCCAGCTTCAAGAGCCAAGCTGACATCAGGACATGGGTCACTGGGGGTCTCCAAGCAAGGGGACAGCATCACTAAGCAAGAGAGACAACAGCCATGGGGTCATCCTTGTAGATGTAGAGCCTACCTTGACCCCCACCAAGTCTTCCTCCAAAGGTGTTTTCTAGAGAAACAGGAAATGGTGGTATAGTTGTCCTTAGCAAAGGCAGGCAAGGGTGTCACAGACCCCAGCCCTTGCCTTCTCCTTGATACTCGAGATTAAATCCATAGTGTTCTGCACCTGAGCCATGACCCCTTTTGTTTTAACACAGGGTCTCCCTAAGTTGCCTATTCTGGCCTTGAACTTTTGGTCCTCCTGCTTCAGTCTCCTGAATAGAGGGCATTTCATGGGTGCACCACTGCGCCTGGCTGACTTGCAACTTGAAGACAGAGCCAAGTCCAGCATACAAGATTCCTGACTTTTCTTTAGTATTACTCCTTAAAGGAGGCTCATAGGCCACACCTGCTGTCCCCACCCAAAAGTGATGGCAATTTTGGGGATACCTTTGGATAGCAGTCCCAGACCAGCTCCTGGGCAGGATCAGTCTCTGCATCCTTGTCCAGGGCTGGGCCAGGCCTCAGTACCTCAGCACCTCTCTAACTCTGCCTTCCTGTCTCCTTTTCTTCCAGACCAAGTCCGAGTTCACAGTGGAGTTCTCTGTTAGCGATCACCAGGGGGTGAGTGTCTTCCCAGGCCCCTGGTCCCTTGGGAGGCATGTGCTGGGCTTGGCAGTGTCCTGCAGGTGGCGTGGGGGAGAAGAGTCCAGTGGCAGGCAGCAGTGCCAACTCTCTGCCCTTGTCCTGCCAGGTGATCACACGGAAGGTGAACATCCAGGTTGGGGACGTGAATGACAACGCGCCCACCTTTCACAACCAGCCCTACAGTGTGCGCATCCCTGAGGTAGGAGTCCCCAGGATTGCCCTGGCCAGGGAACCTGGCTGGTTGCTCCAAGCCACTCTGGTGGGAGGGACAGAAAGCCAGCTGGGCAAACGGCCATTCCGGCTCTCTCCCTGCCCACCTCCAGTCCAGCATCCACTCTGTACTGGTTAGTGAGCAAGCTGGCACCTTTGAGAAGAGGCTAAGGCATTGGTCAGGAGCCTGACTGGGCAGTGGATGGTAGGAGCCTCAGGCCTAAGAGAGGGCCAGCTCTGGAGGAGGCCAACCCTGAAGCTGGGGCCAGTGGGTGGCAGAAGTTGGAGGGGCAGATGTCGAAGCTTCTGCCCTACCATTCACAGCCCGGACTGGACTGCCTTAGCTTGGAGCAGGTCCCTGCAGGTCTTGGAGGGGCTTCCTCTGGCCCTGTGCCCTCCCCGAAGTGCTCATGCCTGGTCTGTGTGCCCTGAGTGTGTGTGCATGAGTGCATGTGTGGAAAATCAAGCCAGTGTTGGTAATTGAGAAGTACAAATTACTGCATTACAAATGCTTCGTTAATAAGCTGGCTGCTGGTTCCCAATGACACTGGGGTTCTTGTTGCTTGCTGTCTGTCACCATGGTGGCTGGGGCGGTGGCAGTGATACAAAGATGCTGAATGTGATGAGAAAGGACTTCTAAGGGTGGGGAGGGGGTCCCTTGAGCCTGTCCTCAGGGCTGTGGCTGGGCGGGGGCGGGGGTGGGGGTTAAAGGTTGACTAGCAACAATGGGATCTGGAACCTTCTGTGGAAGCAGCTTGACACGGTGGCATCTGGATTGTAACCCCCTTGTTGGTCATTAGATCAGGAAACAAAGAGAGTCTTGAGAGAATGTCCCATAGCCTTGGCGTGGGAGAGTGACTTGCCCAGAGTCACACAGCTGTGACTTTGAGCCTTCTGACTCCCAGGACAAGTTCAGACTCCCTCAGGGATGAAGATATCTTGTCTTCTGTCCCCACTTCCTATCCCTCATTAATCAGCTGGGAGCAGAGGCTCCTATGCTGGTGCCAGATGGAGGGTGGGGAGGGATGAGTGGTGGGAAAGCACCAGGGTGCCTGTGCCTCTCCTCTGCAGGCAGAGGCTGCTGTCCTAAGCATGGGGGGCACAGTGCCCTGCACTCTGGCCAGTGTGCCTGGGGACTGCAGCTTGGCTCTGGGCTCCCTCTCATTTGGAAATCTCCCTAATTTAATTACGGGGCTGTACGTGCCAGCCTGCACTCCGGGCTTGGGCTCAGAAACCAAGGGCATGGCTCAGAGTTAATGAGCCTTGGACCCATTGCTCAGCTGCCATCCTGGCAGGCACGGCTGCCCTGCATCTTCCCTCAAGGGGTGGAGCAGCGGGCAGCCACATTGCAAGGGGACAGGGGCCGTGTCCCTTCTCCCCAGCCCTTCCTCTCTGACCCTTCAGAGATAGGGCCTGTAGCACCCAGCCTTGTCAGGACCTCCGGGGCTCTCCAAGCAGTGAGCCCCTTCTGCCATTCATTTATTTAGCAAATGTTTGTCAAGTGTCCGCTCTTGGCTTGGCTCTGTGCCGGCTCATTCCTGGAAACCCAGGCAGCCGGGGAATGTGGGGATGACAGGAGTCAGAACTCGAGGCAGGAGACCAGATGGAGCCTCTGCCCTGCTCCCAGATTGCTGGGTCTGTTTAAGATGTCACTTGACCTCTCTGGGCTGTAGTGCTTCTTATCTAACAAGTGGAAGGGCAGCCAGGATAAGGTGGCCCTTGCCTCCTGCCCATCTGATGGGAGAGGGTAGGTTAGGCAGCGGAGGGCCAGCTGCAAGGACACACCGTCCCTGGAGGGAGGCCCACAGGGTAACCTGCTGGTGTGTGGGCCTCCTGATCACTGCAGCACGAATACTTGATGCCGTGCTTTCGGCTGCTCTGTGTGGCCTGTAGTATCAACTGGACAGAGGCCAAGCCACCAGCCTGGCCTGGTGTGGTCACCTGAGCTACCTGACTTAATTCCTGCTGGCCCTGCCCTGGAATTAAGACTGAGGTTCTTTATGTGCACAGAGTTCACCCTGGACCCCGCCCTCCCTCAGCCCCTGCCTGAGAAGTGAATTCAGTGGCAGTGGCCGTTGGATGTGAACGAGATGAGACTGTCGCCCCCAAGAAATCAGGGGAAGAGAAAAGAGTGGGTTTTGCAGACCCTGGTGGGCTTCAGTGCAGGGCATGCTTCAGACATTGGGAAATCTCAACTGGCTTCCTGGAGGAGGTGGGTTTCCAGTGGAACCTGACTGAAGTGGCAGTGGATGCCCTGTGGGTGTTGGAAGAGGAGGTTGGATGGAGTCAAGACACTTGGCTTCTAGTTGTAGCAGTGCAGACTTTAGGTCTGTCCTGTCTCTCTGGTGATTTTAGTCTCCAAAGATGTCAGACAGTTTTGTTGGAGCAGCCCCTCCCTGGGGAGCTGATGTGTTATAACCCAAGAATAAAGCCCAAAAGGAGGAGTTGCTTCCAGTTAGGGCTGGATTGTTCCTGAGGGCTGGCAAGACACTGGGGTGGGGGCTCTGTCTACTCAGCTGCCTCTTGGCGTCTCAGCCACCACACCCAGCTCTGTTCTCCCTCACTGCTACCCCTCCAGCCCTGAGCTTGATAGCAGTTGTTGTTTACACATGTCCGGAAGTCAGCAGCAGGCCTGGTGAGCAAGGTGCAGGGCAGTGGTGAAGCAGACCTGTGCAAGGAGAGCTTTCTAACAGTGAGCCCCCATGCATGCTCACACAGCCGACGCTTTGTTCTGCTGAGGATGTGCTGAACTCCCCATCCCTGGACATATGCAAGCAGAGGGGCCCTTGCCTCTATCCAGCTTCAGAGAGTGCTGAGAAAGTGATGGGTCAGAAGGTCCCAGACGTTCTGAAGCAGAACTTCTTAGGGGACTGGTCAGGAGGCGTCTTCCTGATCCCGCAAATCCACAAAATCAGCTAGAGAGAGCAGTGTGGGAATCTAAATTTTAAACTCCTATATTAACACCAAGGCCCACCAGGCTTGGGGGTTCTGTGGGACCACCCCTAGAGAGGTTCTGAGTGGTCCCAAAGGCAGCCTAGCTTGGGTGAGAATGATCAGCCCATCCGCACTGCCTAAGCCCTGGCCCGCAGGGACCCCAGCTTGCAGCCAGGAATAGCAGGGTGTGGGAGGCCGTTCAAGGACAGGCACAGCCCCGCAGCCTGCCCAGCCTGGCCCCTGCTCCGGAGAGCCAGGCAGGTGTGTGTTTGGGTTTGTTTGTTCTCCTTTCCCCTCCCACCCACACTTCTCCCCTCGCTCAGCCGTCCTCCATGTAATTATCCATTTTATCAGGGTGAAAGGCCCTGCAATTCACTTGTCGAAGCCCTAACGAGGCAGTGTGGATGCTTTCAAGTCCGTAAAGAAAAGGGAAATCCTGCTAGAATTGGCAACTTAATTCACCAAGCCAGCCTCGACAGACCTCATTAAGTCCCCGTGTATTCATTTCAGGCTAATGGCTGTCATGCTGACTGCTGTTTGATTTGCTGTAATAGACTTTTATGGCGTGCCAATTTGCTCAAACGTGTTTGCCTGTGTCTGTGCCCAGCGGTGCTGCTCCGCTGCCTCTGTCAGGGGCGCGTGCTTGCCTCGCTGACCTTCAGCACTGTCCCCAGCCCAGCCCTCCGGGGCCGCCCCTCGGCCCCGCTCTGCATCCCTGGGAGGTGACCCTAGTGCCCGAGTGTGTGAGAGGAGGGCCGGCATGGTTAGAAGTCACATGGTTCCAGGTGGCCTCTGGGTCCAAGAATCCAGGGGTGAATCCAGAGGCTAGTAGAGTCTTGGGGCCACTGTGCCCTTGAAGTTCCGAGATGTCCCACTTCCTTGGCCTAGAGTCTCAGCTTCTGTCCATCTGGCCTCAGCCTCCCTTTCCCTGTGTATTTCCTGTGTCCCCTTCCAGTCCCTCCCTTCGTCCCAGGGGCTGATTGAATGTCCATGTCCCTCATGTACATTGTGCTTTTTTCACTGGTACCACAGCCTTGCCCAGCCCTACTCTGCCTGTCTGTCAGTGCCCAGGTATGACCCATCGTGCCCTGACCCACAGTTTTTTTTTTAACAAATACAATAAGTATTTTTTGAACAGCTACTAAGTAGAGCCCAAGGAGTCTGAGCCAGCTTAGACACACAGGGTAGTGAACAGGACTCGACCATCTTCCACCTGTACACTTTAGACAGGTGACTTGGCCCTCTTTGGACCTCAGTCTCCTTATATGTAGGATAAGTAAGAGTATCTGTCTTGCAGGATGGTTGTAAGAATCATAAAAACGGGCCAGGGATATAGCTCAGTGGTACAGCACCTGCCTGGCAAGCACAAGATCGTGAATTCAGTTCCCAGTACCAGAAAACAAAAGACAAAACCAAATCCATAAAAATGTAGTCCTCAGTGTACTTTGTGGCTCAGAGTATATTTACTAAAATGCTGGTGACTGAGACCCAGATCTTCGTCCTCAGGGAAGGATATTTTACCAAGAGAAAAATAAGAACGTTGTATATTAAAAGTTAAATGTGTAACATTCACAGTAACTTCGTATGATAGAAGCACTGTGGTCTCCATGTGGGGATTATTTATTTGGGAGCTTATAGGGTGAGTAGGGGTTGTTAGAGGAGATCATGATGCCTCAGAATGTCATTTACTTCCTGGGACTCTGATCTTTTTATGTGTTAGACTTTCCCAATGCCAGGAGTGAATCCTATCCCCTGATCAGAGACACTGCTGACGAAGGACAGGAGCTGCGTGGGTATATGTCCCTTGCAGGTCCCCACAATTGCCTCATGAAAACAAAGCCTGGCTGGAAGTGGGTCCCCTGGACCTCTGCCCAGGCCTTGGGCAGGTCCTGCACAGATCCTTGTCATCAGTGGCTTCAGGCGACTGGTTGTGAGGTATGGATGAGGCTGCTTGCGGGGGGCCTGGGGCTGGAATGGAGAACAGGAGCCTGTGAGATAGGGCCCAAGGTGGGGGTCTTTGCCCAGCTACCTGGCTGCTCCCACTCTGTGTCACTT